TTTACATATTGCCCGTGTCTTTGCACGCTTTCATCATACCGCCACCTAATCCTCGTAACATACCTCTACTCTTATTAGCACCTTCTACACAATCGAATCACTTGCAACTTACGCTTGTACCAAGCCATTAGATAATTCTTATTGTTTTTTTTTATCTTTTGTATCTTGAGTAGAGAGTAGTGCACGTAAAGAAGTTTCGACCCTAGAGACATGATTCAATGACACTCGATAGAAGACAACACTTTTTTTTTATTTATCTACCATAGACTCGTAGAATTCGAGATCGCGTTTAATTCAACGATCAGATGCAAAAACCCACGCATGAAACTATGCGATAACTAACCCCAACCCCCAAAAATCCTAACCCCCCTAACCCTAACCCCAAAACCCTAACCTCCCTAACCCCCCTAACCCTAACCCCCGTACACCTACGTGGTATGAATAAATTAACCTCGGCCGAGTCACTCGGACCCAGGCCTCTACGGAATGGCCATATCGGACCCCATAAACTACTCAGGCAAGATGGGCCCATCTTGCCCGCTCGGGATTGCCCGCTTTGATCCCCGCAAGTGAATAAAATTTATAACTTACAAAGCTCGTAACCTTTCTACAATGTTGGTGATGAAGTCGCAAAGAGCGGCAAAAGACTTCAAAACAAATTTAAAGATAAACAACCCTCGTGGGTTTAAGGTTTAATGTGCTAAAACACAGTTTATTAGGCTTCCTTTTCCGGTTCTCCAAATTAAACGTGAAGTTATTTTTGATTCTTATCAAAGCGAAATCTTTCTGCTGTATAATAAATCCTCTATTGACCAAGCGTGAGGTCAAAATGGCTAGATATTACTTAGTTCTTATTAACCGAGCGGGAGGTTTGTGTGCCGGGAGAACCTTGACCGAGGTCGCCAGTGCAGACCGAACGCAGTGAGGTCTGTACCAGCGCCCAAGGTCAAGATTCTCCCATACAGACCGACCAAGCTCGGTTAATAAGATGTTTATTATATGGCTGTGTCTTATATGCCAATTTTTTATATTCTTTGTATCTTTTTTTTCTAGACCGGTCTAGATGCCGGTCTAGATGGGAAAATCTAGACCGCTATCAGCATTGATTTTAGCCAATCAAATTCGTGAATTCGGTAGTTCCCAGTCCTTGTGAGACACAGCCATATAATAAGGTCTGTTATTAAAACAGGCTCGTATTTGCCAAGTCTAAATTTTACCGTAAATTCTGGGCCACAATAATAGTGTTATAATAAAGCTAAGAGGTAGAGTTGCAGAATATTACTCACATGCATCACCGTGACAGAAAACCTGCCGCATCACACATATAGATGAGTATCCTTTTCGACAAGAGAAAGGTGATTCAAGAATACCAGTATATTGTCTCCTTGACATTAGTATAAACAGTGAGGATAATAATGATGACAATATTAATATAATATTAATTTAAAGGGGCTAGCTCGAAAGACTCATGTTCCCCAATCCTCTGGGCTCCAACCCATGATGATTAGCTGTGCTTCCTTTAATTCGCCTGTAACTCAAATAACAAAGAATACAGAAGATTCAAATTTACCTTGCCACCGCTTGGTAGATCCGTTTCCGGAGCACATGAGGAAAAAAGCTCCTTAGTGAACCGGAACCCTTGTTGCGCAAGTTTGCAGATTTGTGTCGACGCACCAAAACCAATTTTCTGACTCTATCTGGTGTAAAAAGTATTTGAAAACAGATTGTCACATTTAACAACTGAATTTAACTTTTGAGATCAGCATATAAGCCTAAGTTTTCTGAGATCCTTTACAAAACTTTATGCTTGATTTGCCTTGTGACAACATTGTATTTTCGGCGGGTTCAAATAAAATATGCCAAGTAATTGTGAACGTATTGTAGCGTTTATGTGTAACAGTTAAGGCGTTAGAAGTATTTCTTAGTTTTGCAGTCTCAGGTGAAGCAGAAATGAAGTCAATGACTCAAGATCACGTCTACGGAACTTATAAATTGCTCCGAAATGTCTCAAATGACGAAAGCGACCAAGAGGCTGCGGAAGAAGATAAAGAAAGTAATCATGCCATTTCATCCATGGAAGAGGATGACCAAAACAAGACGACCAACTTGCAAACTTTTTGCAACATTTTTAATGCCAACCAAGGGGCTACCATACTGGCCATGCCATATGTTGTCAAAAGCGGAGGCTACATGGCTCTTTTCAGCATTCAGCATACTTTCCATAGCCTTTATTTCCAACTTTACCAATAAGATTCTGGTGCAGCGTCTGTACGAGTATTCACCGGAGCAGATCCCAGGACATTCCGAGTTCGAAACAGCCATGTCGAAATCGGAGAAGCGTTCTCGCCGAAAATCGGGCGACACCTGGTCAACGCGGCGCAAATGTTTGAACAGCTCTCATACTGCACGGTGTTGTTGATTCTGTGCGGCTCCATTTTTGCCTCCACCTTTCCCTTCGTACCGCTTAATGAAAGCCATTGGACAGCGTTAGGAGCCATTGTTACTCTTCCAAACATCTCTCTTAAGTCTCTCAATGATGTGTCGTGGTAAGTTTCCTGTCGGTCACGATTGGAGAAATTATTTATCTCTCCGTCACAATATACGGTGTCATTCATCACGAGCGCTGGAATTTTGCATTGCTATCCGACTTCAAGCTAAAGAGCTTCGGTGCAGCTGTCGGAATCATTGTTACAACCTTACACGCCGGGGACTCAAGGTAGTATGAAAAAGCCCCAAAAATTCAGTAATGTCATGTGCGTCGCTTATCTGGCGGTCACCTTCGTGAAAGCTGGCTTTGGCCTCATCGGTTATTTCACTTTCATTCAAAACACAGACCAGGTAATCACTAACAATCTTTCTAAAGGCAGACTTCATATGTGCGTCAACCTTCTAGTCCTACCACTGGACGCCACATCGTACACAATACCAGTGTACACCGCGTTCGTCATTCTAGAAAACATTGAGTTTCCCTGTTTTAAGGTGAACAGTCTTAGCCAGGCAAAAGACAAAATTTTCTATTTTCAAACGCTCGCCGCGCGCTTGTGTATAGTTTCCTTCACGTTATTCGTAAGCGTCTTAGTTCCTCAATTTAGGTTGTACATTGCCCTAGTTGGCAGCTCTACAGGGATGTGCCTAACGTTTATTTCCTCTCCTATTTTCCAAATGAAGATCTGTTATACTAGAATTCAATGGTACGACTTCGCCGTTGATTCAGCAGTTGCTCTCTTTGGACTAACTGGGGCAATTATAGGATGCCATTTTTCAGTTCTAGCTCTAATCGCAGAGTATAAAAAACACGAACTTTAATTCAATTAAGGAATGACGTTTCCAATTAGTAAAAGAAATAACTTATTTCTTCGTTGAAAACTTCTCATCTTGAAGAATCCAGATAAGGTTTTGCTATCCGTACCACTCACTTAAATTTTATATCATAGCGGACTGATTTTAACTGTCGCCAAAATCGGTTTTTAGGATACTGCAATCAATGGTCACTGTTGATGAATTGCAGCTAACTGTCGACCGCAAATATCAATTTAACCGGGGATTAAAATTCTTTTTGTGGCTGCTATTCTTTAGGGGTAGCCAGTATGCTACACTGTTTGTTGAAGGGAGTGTAAGTAGTCCATATCTATGGAAACTGCTTAAAATTGCGTGATCGGACTTCGGACTTCACTCAACATGGACGTTTAACAACCGGAGATTTCGGATGAATTTTGAAACAACCATTCTTTTCTAATGTGAGTATGCTGCGACTAAGACTTCTTCCACCTTGCCACCTTTTTGTTTTTTTTTTTTTACCGATCGATATCCTAAGTTGATAATGTAAAATTGGCGACCGTATAGAGTTTCTAACACTGACGTTAACCCCTCGTCAGAACAAAAAAAAAAAAAAAAAAAAAAAAAAAAATCTTTCTATAGGATCACACAATTACTGGTGAACCATTAGTTTTCATTGTGGTCCTTGCAAACAAATGAAACAAATGGTCTAAACTGAACATAACATCATTAAAAACATCATTAAGAACCCCAAACGGCCTGAGGCAAACCAGGTGGCTATTTACAAGTGTGGCCAAGGATCTGAACACGGGGCTACCGTGAAACAAATCTAGTGGTCAGGGTGGGACTCGAACCCGGGAGCGGCGGATTACGAGTCCGACACTCTAACCACTCGGCCACACTGCCTCCTACAGAACAAATATGGAACGAAGGGCAAACGCTAGGTATATGCGTTTTGGACACTATTTAAGCGCTACGCTTTGTTGCTTGCTGATGAGGTCATTGGATGGAGTCCCGATGAGGAATTGCAAAATCAGTGACAGCAAGAGACAAGAAAACAAAAAACCGAAAAACAAATTAAAACACTTTATAAATCACGTTTAATGGTCAAAAGAATTTGAATCTGTAAATCCAACCACACGATAGTGGTGAGAACGATGCAAGTATACAACATATAAGCTTTACATATTAGACATAATAGTCTTGGTAATAACACGATTTTGAGTGCAATTTGGTGTAAATAAGCACGAGTAAAGACAAGAAAATTGCATGAGCCCGAAGGGCAAGATCAACTTGTAGTCTTTGAAAAATATACAAGTGCTTATTACACCAAATTGTGCGAGAAATCATTGTCTTACTTATTGAAAATTTACATGAAAAAAGCATCACAAGAAGTCAAGACAGACAATTTTGACAGCGCACGCTATTTCAAATTTGCAATTAATCAGATCATTATATTTCTTACTCAATGATGATAAACTATTTTATAACATTTCATCATGATAAATAAATTTTCTCTCTGATTTCAAATCTTTCTGATGTTCAAATTCATTGATAAACGATTTCATTTAATAATTAAGATTACGTACCCCGCATTTGTAACGAATGTATCCATAAATATTCTTCTATTGACCACTTTCATAAATGGCTGCTGGATTAATATTCTTTTGTTTAAATTTAAATTAGCCTTTCTGGCTTCGCTTGAGATAATGTATTTTCTTGAATTTTGTACTGAAGAACGAGGCCAGAAAGGCTAATTTAAATTTAAACAAAAGAATATTAATCCAGCAGCCACTTATGAAAGTGGCATATACGCGTGCTTAACCGCGTTAGAAAGAGGGACTCAATCTAAAAAGCGGAAATGAAGCAGCACCAAAGAGAGCTTACTAACAGGCTTGGTTACACAATCTCCGTTTAGAAACACATCGACACAAGTGGACTTAAAACTAATACAGTGGAACCTCGATTTAACGAAGTGCCAAAGGACTGGGGAAATTGGTTCGTTATATCGAGGGTTCGTTACATCCAGGTTCTGTGGTATGCATTTTACTGTAACTTTAGTCGGGCTGAAACTGAAGTATCGTTCGTTATACCGAGGACTTCGTTATATAAAGGTTCGTTAAATCGAGGTTCCACTGTATAGTGTAATATTTCTGTATAGGAAATATGTTTCACTGTATAGGAAATAATAATGTTTCACTGTATAGGAAATATTTCTGGAGCATTTTCTGATCAGTTTTATATGATATAAATCGCGATAATTACATTTTTTGTCTATTAATTTCTTCATTTATCTTTATTTGTTAATTTGACTGACAGTTGCTTCAAGGCTGTACCTATATAAATTTGATGTTGTTTCGTACTTTTTTAGAAAACACACGCATGTAAGTACACTGCTATTCTTTCCATTTTTTGTGCGGGTCAATAAATGGTTTTTGTCAAATCGTGGTCAAATTAATTCAAAGATCCATCCAAAGGTTTCTTTCTAATGTTTAGTGATTGTGATTGATATATTTCTGATGTGTGGCAGCTAGAACGGCCATTGTGCGTGACACCGTGTTGGTGGCGTGACGGGCATGTTAGTGACGCCATACTTAGGCAAATGCCCAGACTTCCACTCCGATACAAATGAAGTCCTCTGTCGCGGAAAGCATTTCACTGTCGTAAGTATCGCACGCAGTGCTTCTACCATGATAAAGTTCACTGTCCAGCCACAGGCCAAATGTTCCCCTAAAATTTACAACATGTGACATGTCACCCTGATAAATGTCTCATGTCTACCTGGAACTACAGAATCAAATGGCCATGGGGCGTTTTCAATCACGGGCTGAGCAGCTAGGTTTAAGTTGCCGTAATGTCATGTAAAAACAAGCTTAACATGAACTATTGCAAAGGGTCACCTTGGGAGCCGTTCTTTGGTACGGAAAACGCATCGGGTGTCCCATCGTTTATTTTAAAAAATAAACGATGGGAGACCCGAAGCTCAAATAGATGGTTGGGAACAGTCTAGAGAGGCGTCAATGAACTGAACATCCATCACACGGCGACAACAACAACAACAACCAACAACAGAAAACAACACGACAACAACAACAAACAAACAAAAAACCTAACTGCTATTCAAATTTCAAACATAACGTTCTTTCGGTAAAGCTCACCGACTTCTAAACCACTTTGATCGATCGAATTGCTAACTGCGTTAAATTTTCATCAACATTATTGCTAGTACTTACTCGCTACATCCGAATGCAAGGTTTGTGGTGTCCCCTGTCAAATAATACGAATTCTTTCCAGAGCATGGATAGATCTGGTGTGATCAACATCGGTAAATAAACTCAAAGTTAGGTTGTTACTTCATGTAAACTATGTGCTTAACCAAAAACAAAGACAAGAGACAAAAACATTAGAGTACATTTTGATACGGTATTCTTACACCAAAACCAGAGTGATCAGTAGAAGCCAATCAGGAACTCGCCAGTTCCCTAACGTATAATTTGTATCAAGTACGTAATCTGAAGAACTAAAAGAAATTGTTGAAAAATGAAGGTACTGCTACATTCCCTTCGCAATTGTTGAGAGAATGATGTAAACTTTGCTATCATATTGAAGCAAATTTATTGTTAAACAAAGACAAAAAAAAAATTGCCGTAAATATTATACAAAGCCGATGGGAAAGACAAAACATGTAAGCTGCCTAAGGCACGTTGATACGCGAGAGACTGGTTCGATTTTGTGTTTGATTGATTGACAGTGTGGTAAAGCAAAACAATTGTACTCCCAAATCGGTTTCTACACTCGAATGTAAATTCCTCTCAACTGTTCTCCTACCATGTATTTCGGTTTACAAGTGAAGAAAAATGATTTTCCAACACCAAGGAATTTATCAGGACCAATCATGGGTGCCGTCGGAGAAAACACACCAAAAACCTAAGACAGAAAAAGGAAAAATTTCGTATTGAGTTGGACTTCCAAGGTTAAGTCATCGATATTTCGTTAAATCACGTGAAAAATATTCTTTGGACACTTCTCCTTTAAAAATATTGAGCTTCCTTCTGTCAGGAAACTAATTAAAATAGGTATTTCAAAGGCAGCTTATTTAGGTGATCGGCAATCCTTGGATGACAAGGTCTTGCTTGCAGATGTTCTATTACCCTTCATTACCTTTTCAGATTTTATCTTGACAGAGTAGATTCAGCCTCGCAAACGATGCAAGAAAAATTGACGTAAAATACTTACAAAGCCATTGCTATCCTCGATTACAAGGAGAACAGGAGTTTCAACACCTCTGACCCGATGATACAATGTCTGAAGGCTCATGCCATGTAGAAATGTGCTGTAAGCCAAGACCATTGTGGTTGATGGGAGATGACAGGCCAGCTGAAAAACAATCACACCGGGTTAAACGCTTAATTCCCATGATCTGACTAGCAATTCTCCCTTCCAACTACAATAAATTTCCTTGTAAATCAGTTAAGAGATTTGGTATCAAAAACCATGTTTGTACTCATCACCTGATCAGAACTGATTGAAATCTCGAAGAGTTGGTATAAAAGCCATTACATAATATGAGCTCGTTTCACAAGGAATCTTGACTCTTCAAAGTTTTTATAGCCAGTAAGATATATTCCCGCGAGAGTTTCGACGCATGTGCAAAAACACGCGAGATTTGTCAACGCTTCACTCCTCGCTCACTGGCTCGCGAAACGCTACTAATTACACATTCTGGATCAAACGGTGGAGTCATTTTCAGCGCATACTGGTGAAAAATCTGATAGAATTCAGAAAACTTGAGATATCTGATACCTTATCAATATCTTCTTCAGACAATATGTGAGATTCTTCGTCAAGGTTTTGATGGATAGAGATGGAGTGAGTTCTAAAAGAGAAATGAAATTACATTATCGATTACACCAAATCCATCTCGTGAACGACTGTTAGTTAGGAGAGTCACATGAAATTACAATTTTATCAAATCGATCTGGACACGGGAAGTTAAACGTATCCTTCTGGTGTTTAGAACACCTGTTTTGTTTTATTCATTTACCGTATGAGCTGTTTTGACTGCCTCAAAACCCACGGCTCCCAAAATGGACGAGAATCGAGCAGAGCTTAAATACAACTGTTCGGAAGCGAAACGGAAATCAAACACATGTTTTTTCGTAACACGGTAAACGGTAAACTCATGATAAACACGGTAAATACCAACGTCCACCAAACACATTGCCACTGAAAAACTCAAAACTTTCAATTCCTCGAAAAGAACTTACACAAGTGAAAAAAAAAAAAAAGAGTCCGCGTTATTTTCTGACGACATTTTAACTTACGTAGTCTCAAAGCACGTGCACGCACAAGTTCGGTAACGGCTTCTTAAAAACAACCATTTGATATCACTTACTTCCTTTTAGCATCTTCGTAACTCAGTATCTGTTAAGAAAAAGATAAATATCTTTATAATCGCACGTTGTCAACAAAATTTGTTCCACACTGAAGAACTGTGGAGTTGTAATTCTCTTTTCAATGACCTTAAATATCAGAAAATCATATATGTGTACCGCGGATTTAGTAAAGGAACATCAGGGTTGTCGCTAAACACCGGCTGCCGACGAAATTCGCCAGATGAAAGAGCGACGATTGCCGTCTGGATTTTCGGCTGGCGATCGCTCGGTAAATTACAACGGGCACTTCTGAGGTCGCACAGTTACAATCTTTCAATATTGAACGCGATCTTTGAGCTGCATCACTTGAAATTTCAGTCGGAAGCCCAATTCAGTAGCTACAGTGCTGGAATATGAACGTCATCTTCGTAGTAAGGAATACTACTTAAGCAGTACCAAAAATAAAGCCTGAAAAAAAATTCAGGCCGGTACGGATGTTGAACCCATCGCTTCTGCGATACCGGTTCAGTCCTCTTCCAACTGAACCAACAAGCCAACTATGAGCTGGTCAGTTTGTTGGTTCACTATCATACCAACTGAACCAACAAGCCAACTATGAGCTGGTCATTTTGTTGGTTCACTATAATACCAACTGAACCAACAAGCCAACTATGAGCTGGTCATTTTGTTGGTTCACTATCATACCAACTGAACCAACAAGCCAACTATGAGCTGGTCATTTTGTTGGTTCACTATGATACCCACTGGGCTGACAAGCCTAGTTTTTATGAACTAAAGAAAGTTTTTGCGAGAATCTTAAGGAGGCTATTGTCAATTACACTCTTACCTCCCACCGTGAGTTCCGAGACTTGCGATCAAACGATACCTCCCAACTATGACGAAGTTTCTAAGACAATAAAGAACTATAAATTATAATTACATTCTCAAAAGAGGGGAAGTCCATACGGAAAAAGGCATTCATTTCTTACCGCGAATTCGTCGCTGCTCGCGTCATTGACTGTGCTTTCAGTACTTTCTGTCATTTCAACTTGCTGTGTTTTGCAATTCGTCTTCCTTTTTCGATAAAATTTTGGACTCCGCTCTTTTAAACCATCCATTTCCGAGCTATCTTCAAAGGTCTCAAATTCCCTGCCTTTCGTTTTGGGAAGACAACATTGACACAGAAGACTAGCTGTCAGAGAGAGGAATCCCATCACGCCGAGCGGCACCACGGCTTGCGTCTGCAGTTGGAGCTTCATGATCAGCGGAGCCAGCGCTTCGCCCAAGTAGGCAAAACAAAATACCAAGCAAACGGCCGAACATCTGTAGACATGGAAAATGATAAAACTTAATTCTAGACTCTAAGTGTAATTTCGAACGAGGAGACTGATAAACTGAAACCATAAAGATAAGAACTAAATCAACTTTATAAAATCGCTAGGCACTGTTACCCTCATGGGCTCCGATACTTAAGGAAGCTTGAGTCTTGAGCCTCGCATATTGCCGGGATATGCTATACTGAACTACCTCGTTACCGTGCCCCGGGAATGGTGCGACTCAATCAATATGACAGAAAAAGTGACTGACAGAAAGTGTAATCACCTGCCTACTGTCGGGAACAATTCAAATGAATATAAATTGAGCGAAGCCTGGGAAGCCATCATACATACACGGCCTATTAACTGAATCACCAGTGTCACTGCATGACGCTCTAAAAAAAAAAAAAAAAAAAAAAACCCATATTTTTATCAATAAGTGTAAGAGTTAGGGGCGCCGCGAGCATTTTTCCCGCGAGACAGACACGGACGAAAAGGTGAATTTTCATTTTGGGTTCTTTTATTAATTAATTAATTAGTTTACTTATTTAAAGACTTGCAAACTGATTACAATGTTCGGGTAGTACGAATAATAAGACATTATGTCCCCTACAAGATTCGACCACCAGTCCCCAGCTCAGCCTCACATTGATAATAATTGAAAAAGAAAGGGGAAAAAAAAAAAAAAACACTTCTCCGATCCATCAACCAAAACTAAATAAGTTAAATGATGAATTAATCATTAACAAGTGCATGCACATATAAATTTACTCTTCTACATTTGGGACAGATAATATTAAATGAACGAACTTTGTCCCCATCGAAAACATAATAAAGACGCTTGAAAAATAATGATTTAATTTGGCACTTGAATGAACCCAAGGATTCAGCCAGCTTGACATCATCAGGGATACTATTCCACACGATACAAATTTTATTCAAGAAGTAGTCCCAAAAACTAGCACGGCGAGAGCGTCCACTTAGAGATGAAAATATTTATCAAAATGTCTGGCAAAGTTTACACCTCCTTTCATGCACTTCTAGAAGAAACAACGTCTAGATATCCTAGCCAGTAATTTAGTGGTAGTAACATAAGTTTGGTGAGACGGTCCTTTTAAGAACAGGTCTGTGTCTTTACCTACAAAAACGCGTTCTCGTTGGTTCCTTATAACAATTTCTTTTATTCTAATTGGTTATTGTGGCGACCTTGTTATTTGTTAAAGACACTTAAACAAAAAGTCAAGGTCAAATACCTGCTTTCAAAAATTCACGAGAAGCAAGAGAGAACAGCAAACAGAAAACACCGGCGAACAGCATGGAAAGAGCCGTCCATGCACGTCGACCGACTCTGAAAAAGAAGTTGAACATGACACCAACACGACATGTATGGCAGAGGGAAAGGGGGGTACGGAGAGAAGAAGTGGAGGAGAAGAGGGAGAGGAAGTACGAGAAAAATGCTAGGGGGATGAGAGAGAGGAGAGTAAACATTTCACCACAATTTTGTCATAAATTGTGGTTCAAATCGCGTGACGTACTTATTTACCTCGTGACCATAAAGAAGAAGAGAGCAACTCCCAGCAAGTGGATAATTTCTCGCACTGCATAGTTCTTGTAGAAATTCGGAAGAAGCTGAATAGAACTTATGTTCAGTCCTCGGTACAATACGCCCAAGGCAAACCTGTAACAAAGAATAGAAGAAATAGTTAGACATTAGCAAACGAATAATTGTGTAAAGTAATAGAGCTATTCTTGCAATAACTCGACGGCTAGAATCATTGTTTCCGTTCCTTTCTTTCCAAATTCATCGAGGATGTCATGACTGACCTTATCATCAACACCATCGTCACCAACCTAGTTACCAGGGCTCTCTTTCTTCCTTACAATGAGGCTGCATCATCGAGCCAAAACAGCCAATCAGCATCACTTCAATCACCATACTATGATCAGTGTTAAAGTCCACATCGACTGTCAACCATCAAAATCAGATTACCACATTGTCATCGTCATTATCAATAATACTACGTTTTCATGATCGCCATCGCCACTTTCGTCTCAAAGTATCAACAATATGATTACCTCCCTGACTTTCCAACCAATGGAATGCAGTATTTTAGTTTTAGAAAAAAAACTACCATTAGTATAAGGCGCATCGGGTTTTGATGCACATGCTGCAATCTGATAGGCTACGCTACTCGTTACCTATTCCCTAATAGACAGTGGGCGAGTGGCCTCTACTGTGGCCTAGCAGTGTGCAAAGGACCCTTCTTACTCACCAAGCAAACGCCAACACAATTGTTTTTTTTCGAGGATTTTTGCGTCTAAGAAGAGCGCAGCATCCGTTGTTTGACTCCACGTTTGGTGGGGTATAAAATTTTCTCCACAACGATGAACACTTTCTAAACTTTGAAGTTTTCCTTTGCCCTTCGCTAACTGCTTGCTCCAACAACACCTGCGCCTCGTTTGTTTCCTCATCTGAGGAGGAATTAAGTAGAAGCCAACGGGGAGATTCTGGAGCGAACCTGGGAAAGGCAAAATGCTGATGTCTTAGATAAGAACTGCAAAGGTGAGCCATATTCCAAAATTTCAAGCAAAGTGATTAGGCTCCGCCCACAAGAGCGCGGGTAAATTTGAGCAAAGAAAGGCTCCCTCGGCTTTGGATGACCGAATGGAAAAGATTTCCCTCCCTGAGGCTCCCACATAATTCATACTGGTGTTCGTTTCAGGGTGATGGTTGTCGACCACAGCCTCTACAGCAAGCTGCTGTTCGGAAGAGGAATCTTCGGTAAAAAAAGCAGCTGATATCAGGCTTGTGAATGTCGACCGACAATGAAAGAAAATTAGTGAGTCATCTTAAGTTAGTTCATTCGCTTAGCTGAGTTTTCGACCCACTATAATATATAACCTAACTGCATTTTAATATTCCTCAACACTGGAGTGGAGTTTTAGAAGACCCGCCTTTGGTTACTGTAAACCTGCTTTTAAAGTGGTCAGGCAAAACTGGCATTTCTGTATTAAAAATGAACCTACTTCCACAGCAGAAAGGTGAGTAGTAACGGAAGCGTCATTCCAAGAATCAACATTTGAATATTTTGCAGCGCATAGGCGATCCCAGCTGCTGACATGTAGGCCAGAGTAGTGGTGACCCAAAAACATAATAGACAGGTTGGTCGATGTCTAGAACTGACGTATTCAGCCCCCAGAATCAAGGTGATTTGAATGGCGCCGGCTAGAACAAAAACAAACTGGTTACCCAGGGAGTGAAAAGCCCTGCATCAAGTTTTTCATACCACAGTGACTAATGTTGTCTATTCTGTGGTGATTTTTAGGTATATTTTAGCAAGTGTAAACTGGAAAATAAAACAATTTAACACGTTCCCAAATGCTGGTAAGACATTCAGGTAGAAAAGCTTCTTCTCACCTGAAAATCTTTTTCATTCCCTTTTGCAGATTGTTGATGAGAGGCTAGTTGTCTCAAGTGATTCATCAAAGCCAAAAGGAATCAACAGGTAATTTCACTGCCTGATCTGTCAGCCACGACTGCACTGTACAATATAAACCCTTAAACTCCCGCGATCTAATCGTTAATTCTTCCCTCTGGCTGCTACATATTTCCTTGTAAATTAACTACGAGAATGTGCTGTTAGATCAGGACAACAACAACTACCTGATTAGTCTGAGTATTCTCATTACCTGTTTGCTGGATAATGTGTGGATTTATAGGGAGAAGTTACATGTTAATCACTTCTGGGAGTTAAAGGGTGAGATTGTTACTGTTCAGCTTTAACTTCACATACCTGCTGCAAATCCAACCACACCACGCAGAAAAATAAATATCCAAAGAAAGTGAAAAGCAAGAGAACTCGCTATCCCTGCGATAAAAATCACGAAAACAGAAGCAAGGAGAGTCTTCAGTCTGCCACTGGCATCTGCAGCAAGTCCTAAGATCAAGGTTCCCAACAACATGCTGACTGCCTGTGTTGTGTCGAGGATAAGTATAACTTTCTCTACAGAGTCAGTACTAGTCTGAAAAAAGTTAACAAAAGACAATAAATGGTAATAATAAAGAAAGTTATAATAATATTAATAATAATAATAATAATAATAATAATAATAACTAACAAGGAGGCATACCAGTTGATCCTGATTGGTCCCTAAGCTCAGGATTTCCTAACCCTGCCAAGGCTATGCTCTATGAAAAAGTGAAGGGACCCCTGTGCTCTGAAACTATGAAATCCAGGGGTGCCCAGAATGTGCTTTTGATGAAAAACTAAGATTCCTGAGTCACCCAAGAGCAAAAGTCAGGCACCAGGGGCCACTGGGTGCTGCTAGACCACTGCCCTGCCAGCTCACAGCCCTAATAATACTTTTGTTACTTAAAACAGCAACGCCTTAACCACATTTTTTATTAACCTCCCAGCCAGCAAATAGCATCTACCATATATATATAGATACATATATACAGATTTATTTATTTATTTGTTTATTTATTTATTTATCAACCACATTTTGGCAGAGATGCCCAGTTCAGCATATGCTGGTTTAAATGGGGCTCTGCAAACCCACCTATCCCACCCCAGGGGAGGACATCCATCACACAGTAACCTCGTGTGTGGGAAATAAACATCTCCTACCCCTAACCCTGCAGGAGACGGGACCTCCATTTATTCGGTCCTATCCGAGAAGACAAGAATATCTAACCATGTCTTGATGTTATAGAAAGGTAGCATATTCTTCTTAATTCTTTTTAAGACCTTGAGTGTTGGTCCGCCGGGGCTCGAACCCTCAACCTCACGCACAACAGTCCAGCTCTCTATCCATTGAGCTAACCGGGAGGCGGTTCACCTTACATACACATAAAGATTTGTGTATGTAAGGCTTCTGTGATCTATAACTACTGTAGAAATAAGCCTTCATTTCATTTAATTAATAAGTAATTGTTGCTAATGGCAAAATCATCCAGGCATCAGTCCTAGAGTAGATCACTAATAAGAAGAGAACCAATCAAGGTGAATGTCATATGCTGAATATCCTTTAAACTGGCATCTATTAATTCCTTTACTTATATTTATAGCTGGAGTCTCTTGTATCCATCATACATAATTAAAAAAAAATTAATGAAAAATTGATGGAGAGTGCCACAATTACTGATGGTCTACTAGTGGCTAACAAACAAAACATGTCAACAAATACATGGGAATATTTACTAGGCAGAGAAAACTTAAGCATGGCCACAGAGCTGAAATCTTAACTGCTGAAAATGACCCCAACAGATAAGAGCAAGATTAAGACTGGGGCCAAAATAAATTGAGTCTAATGACCATCACCATTAACATGTTAGAGTAAGATACGATGAATGAACTGCTGTTATAGATACATATGATGCATGTTAGAGTAAGTTGAGAAAATTTGTCCAGCAGTAACGATAAACTACTAGCTGTTTTCCCCCTTCAGCTCCCAATATCAGTAATCCTGCTCAAAAGGTTTTAAAATGTCTTCCCAAATAAGTGAGAAGAGTTTTATGTACATCAGTATGCATATTCTGCATACATTCATATTCAATATGCATATGTACATCAGTATGCAGTATTTACTGCGTCGCACCACAATATCTCTCAGACTTAATAAAAATCAAAGTGAGTTCGCGGTATCAGTTGAGATCACACCGGGGCATACTCCTAATCGATAACACCTACAGAACAAAAAAGACACTCGGGCAAAGGGCATTCGAACATGCTGCGCCCAAAGTATGGAACTGACTACCTCTGGAAATAAGACAGTGTCAATTGTTGGATACTTTTAAAGTTTTACTAAAGACATCTTTTTAATTTAGCTTTTTATTAGTTCTTTTATTAATTCATATTTTACTTTTATTGTTTTTCCGTAAAATTGTAAATCATTATTATTACTATCATTATTAGGATTAGCCTCATTGCTGTAAGATTTTTAATGTTGTAATGCACATTTGATCATATCTTTTATTGCATGTTAGACTGTGACTTTCAAATGCCCACACCACATTGTAATTTTGTGGTTCCATGTCTGAATGGGGTGCGGTACCAGCAGGTCTCCCCCAAGGGACCAAATTGGGGCCCTGGCTTTTTTTGCTTATGATCAACAACCTCTTAACCCCCAGTGTGTCCTTTGGGATGTGGAAGTACGTGGATGATACCACCCTGTCAGAAAATGTGCCACAGGGGCAACAAAGTAGAGCACAAGAAGCAGTGGACCACGTTTCCAACTGGTC